CATTTGGGTTTTTAAAAAAATTACAAACTACAGGAAAACAAAACAAAAAACACAGGGTAGAAGCCATCAGAAATCCTTATAATCCTCAGACAAAGATGGGTCCCAGAACTCATAAAACAGTAAATTCAATGTTTTGTCATTTGGGGCTAGAATGGAATTCTGTTACTTTTACACCCACTCACCCATGCATTAAGATACTTCTTATTTTTATGCTTCTTAGAATTTATGTTTCTGCTGTGCTATGATTTGTTAGCAGGAAGATATTCTGGGAAACAGGAGTCCTCTTATGTCTTTTGAACTAAGTCAGTCCTGTAAAGCAATTTGCCCTTCCTTCTGTTCAGCCTTTGTTTGCCTCCTAAACTATGGTTAAACACCGCTGTGTAAAAGAGTAAATACCTTTAGTTTTTATTTTTTTCATGATGGCTGAAGAAATAAGTGACTGATATTTGCTAAATCCCAAACCTGACAATGGAATGGCTTTTTGAGGCCATCGCCATAACAGAGTTGGCAGCATTATGTTTGGGACACCTCCTACAGTGTAAAGACAAGTGAAGGGAATTCCACACTGCAGGCCACTTTTCAGAGTGGGGGCTGGCTTGGCTCGTGAGCAAATACTGAGAGGCAGCGAGCTTTCGCATGAACATCACAACTTCCTAGGGTTGGTTATATGGCCTCAAAACCCTTCTGCGGCTTGTCTGCATTCTTGGAAACTTCAAATTCAAAAAATGCAAAGAGATTGACATGTGAAGAATTCCAGAAAGATGTGTTTGTTGCCTTCTGGTTCTGTATGTGTACAAACAATTGATATTTTTCTGTTTAAGCCATTTCTCATGCTAGACCCAGTCACAGTATAAGGAACTCGGCTCACCGCTGCTTCACAGAAGGTGCGAGTGACACGACTGACTTCCACTGGGCAAACACTAGTGCTAATTATCCAGCCGGGAAGGAAAAGCTGATAAGTTTATGTCATATGTTTTAAAGTGTATTTGTATGTATATATGTATATATATATTTATATATACATATATATACATATATATATGCACTAGTAATGGTTTTTCACAGCTATGTATTTCTAAATAAACCTTTCTTTTTACCTTTATAATGTGCTTATATGTGATAGGGTCACAAAGCTGCTTAAAACAATAAAAATTCCTTGCCACTTAGAAAAGACTCTTTAGCCACATTTAGGGGCGTTAGAGAATAGTATAACAACTATGCTTCCTTTTATAGCAAGTATATTCCAGAATTTTCACACTAGTAAGAATAAAATAGAAATATATCTAAAAAATTTATGTTTAAGCAATAAAAGGACTTATTCCACTATGAGGGGATTGTCAAAAGGAAAAAAGTCCTATACAATTGAGAAAAAAAGATGAGAATTGTTAGATTAGACAGCTTTTTTTTGCTAAAACAAAGCCTGAGATTAGTAATATTTGGTAAGATACCAGAAGTAATCTAGTTCTGGGACTTGAGAAAATATGTAGGGGAAGTCCGATAGTTGATTTGAAGTGAATTTATTCAGGTAGTTACAAAAAATTTTTCCAGGAGAATTTTATCCATGCATTATATCTTTAGCCAAGTGTTTAGGATGAATCTAAGATGTATTACCATGGAGACACTAGGAGTTTGAAGAAATTGACAGAAGTAGTGGTAACTAGAGAAAATGAAGAGAAAGATTTTGAGAGAGAGAGAGGGCGAGAAAGACAGAGAGAGAAAGAGAGAGAGAGAGAGAGAGAGAGAGAGAGAGAGAGAGAGAGAGAGAGAGAGGAGAGTTGAAACATTAAGGTAGAATGACTGAAATGTGGATATATAAGTATGTAGAAGACTAATAGAAAAAGGTCTGGACTCCTTAGAACAAAAACTGATATTGGCTTTGCAAGCAGCAGACCCAAAACAAAACAAATAATTAACTTCTAGTTATGTTAGTAGAAAGAAATAAACATAAACGGAGAATGTGGAAGCAATGAAGTTGCAAGAGAATATAAGGGAGAAAGATCAGAGACCATCTCAGAAGGAGAACTCCTCAAGAATGTTTGTCTGAGACTGTTCACTTAGCAGCCTTCACATTTGACACTCTTTATGGAGAACTTGCCAGTTCTGTTAGTCTGGCCAAGAGGGAAGAAACTGAAAAAATGATGAAGTTGGCAAGTATAAATAGAAGTATCACATAAGGATAGTGCGCCCCAAGCTAAACACATTATTTCGTGCAAAAGCATAGAATAGAAAGACTAAAATTAATTTTTGTGGTCCATTAGTGTTTTTGAAGCCCTGCATATATGTTATGTAACACCTTCAGGGCAACAGTTAAAATAAAGGTCTCATTGCATGCTTTATTTTTAACTTTGTGTTGCACACAAATATTTGAAAGTACAATATTATTTTTGAAGGCGATTGTTTACTTTGAGGAAGAATATGTGATCCAGGCTTCTTCCAAATAATAACTATTGATGGGATATAAACTAAATTGTAAGGCTTTGGTTATATTCTAGCATAACTGTGGGATAAAAATTATTTTTTGATTTAAGGAGTTGTGAGTGCTGTGCAAGAAAATTTACTCAACCAAGATTGTGTCTGAGAGGGTGAAATAACACAAGATGAAGTTGAACTCTATAGGAGAGATTCGTGGTTCAAAATATATTTAAAAGAATCACCTACAGGGCTGGGGCTTTAGCTCAGTGGCACAGTGCCTGCCTGGCAAGCATGAGGTCATGAGTTCGATTCCTGGTACCGAAAAAAAAAAAAAAAAAAAAAAAAAGAAAAAAAATCACCTACATCTTAATACTGAATATTTTTACAGTGTAAATATAATTTTCTTCACAATTAATGTTTATATTGACCTTAGCACTTCCTGGGAGTTTATATAAGAGATGCTTTTGATGTCAGTTGTCAAACTGAAAATGAAAATGAATCATTTTACTTGCGGTATTTTGTGCACATTGTATTGTCAATAGCTAAGAAACCTTTTGTTACTAAATTCTCAGAGTCAGATGGAGATTTCATAAAAATCTCATGTTCCCCAATATTTTATTCATTTTCAAAATAACCACAAATTCTTCTTTCCTATTTTTTCTGAATCTATGTGATGTAAAATAATGGTTATGCGGGATTGTAAAGTACATAGGCAACCCGTCAGTGCCTTAAGTATTAATTTTGCCTTTGGATCACACCAAATAACCACAGAAGCAGTGTCCCAGCTACTCTAAATTATGTAGAATTGACTTCCTGACTGTTTTTGCCATTGTTGATCAGTACTGAAGAATTGTATAAGAAAACCCCTTGTTAGGACCCCTTATGTAATTGTGAGTGATGCTGTTGAAGCTAGTACATTCTACTAATCTTTTGAATGCCATATGGAAAAATTTTCTCTGAAAACAAAATGGCTTCTGTTAATGATATGATACTGTGAATGTTAGATCTACTGTGTGTGTTTTTGTTTTTCTTCAGGTACTAGGAATCGAACTCACAACCTTGTGCTTGCCAGGCAGGCACTGTGCCGCTGAGCTAAATCCCCAGCCCCATGTTAGATGTACTGTGTTTTCCCCCCATTACTTTGTGTTTCAATTTGTATGTGTATGTATGTGTGTGTGTGTGTGTGTGTGTGTGTGTGTGTGTGTGTGTGTGTGTGAGAGAGAGAGAGAGAGAGAGAGAGAGAGAGAGAGAGAGAGATACAGGATCTTGTTATGTAGTAAAGCTGGTCTTGAACTGACTATGGAGCCCAGGCTGGCCTCAAGCTCACAGAAATCCTCCTGCCTCAGCTTCCCAAGTGCTGGGGTTGGAGGAGTGTGCCACCATGCCTGGCTACTTTATGGTTTAGCCTGCTAGTGTTGCCATACCAAATCCCACAGAGTGGGTGACTCACCCAGCAAATTAACTTTCTCACAATTCTTGAGGCTTGAAGTTTGATATCAAGATGTCATCAGAGTTGATTTATCTTGAGACCCCTCTGACTTGAAAATGGCCACCTTCTCCTTGTGACCTTCCAAGACCTTATCTCTGGTATTGCTTCCTATTTATTTATTTATTTATTTATTTATTTATTTATTTATTTATTTTTGGTCTTTTTGAGACAGGGTCTGCTATGCAGTTCAGGCTGGTCTTGAGCTCACTTTGTAGCCCAGGCTGGTTTCAAAGTCTCAGCAACCCTCCTACCTCAGCCTCCCGAGTGCTGGGATTATAGGAGGAGGCACTATGCCCGGCTCCTCTTCTTAGCAAAACATTAATCCTCTTGGATTAGGGTCCCAGATTTATTACCTCACTTAGCACTTATGACTTTGTTAAATGCCTTTTATACAAATAAGGTCACAATAGGTGGTCAGGGAGTTAAAATACGAATTTGAAGGAAGCACAGTTCAATCCATGTGATTTTTTTGTATTTCATTTTTTTATTTTAAAGAGAATAGTAAAGAAATGAGCAACAGCAGAATACAAACAAAACAAAGCAAGGACATTAAAAATGATACAGGGTTTCAAACCAAATGGTAGGAATTAGCAGTGGTTTTTATATTACATAATTGGGTCAGAAATTCCTAGCTATCAAAATCACATGGATTGTAAGAACAACCATTGGTGAATTTCTACAATCAATGTGATTTTGGTAGCTAGGAATTTTTTAGCCAAATTGATGTGACAGTATCAGAAAATATATGGTATTTATTGTTCTACTAGTGTTTCCCCCTTACTGATTTTTTAGTAAGCTATTAAATCTGTTTTGTATAAAAGAGGACAAATAAATTAATTCTCATGCATAATAAATTTTGTAAGGGTGTCTGCTCAGTGAAATGATTAGTAGGAGTTATACTCCTGAGTCCCAAAATATGCTGGAGAACCTTCAGCAATTTTATTCCTCTGAGCAGATGTAGACATTTATATAAATGCTTACATTTATCAGACATACAATAATGGAAAGGTATTTTTCTCTCTTTAGTTATGTAACAGAATATCAATGTAAATAAAATTTTATAAGTGAAAACGTCAACTCTTCTTTTGTCTTATTGTAGAAAACCTTAGTGAAAAAAGACCAACAAAAACTCAAACCAGAATCAAAGCCGGAAAAAAGGTATATCTTTTATATAATACCAGAAAAGTATAAATTCATATATGTGGTTTTGATATTGTTGATGTAATTGCTGACTTTAAAATCTAGGTTTAAGGAAGTATAGTTAATGAAAACATACATTTTTGATGTATCTTTTAAACATTGCCATTGTGCTTCCTCTGGCAGCACATATACTAAAATATCAAATGTTGCCACTTAACTGGACTCAGGCAAGGAGTATATTAGTTACTTTCTTGGTGTTGGGACAAAATATTCAATGCTAACAAGTTAAAGGGGGAAAGGTTCATTTTAACTCATGGTTTGTAGAGGTTTCAGTACATAGTTGGCCGGCTCCAAGGCAGGGTGGCATGGCAGAGGAGAGACAGTCCATGGCACATAGGCAAGAAACAGCAAAGCAGCCAGCAAGAGCCTCTCTTTCTTTCTCTTTTATTCCATCCGGGCTACAAGACTGATGATGGGTGCCACCCACACCCAGGGTGGTGCTTCCCACTACCCACACCCAGAACTATACTAAACCAATTAGTGGATGAATCCAATTATCACACATTGTTAATCCATATTCACACATCCTAAATCCCAACCTATGAGCCTATGAGCCTATGAGGGCATATAGATACTAACCACAAAAAGAAGAATATGGAGAAATGTGGGGTTTTTTTCAAGTATTTTTCTAATCAGTAAACCTAACTCTCATTTCTGGTATCTAGGTTTATGCAGTGTAAACATTACTGAATATGTTTCAGTTGTTTGTTTATAAGAAGCTATGGGCTGTAATTCATTATGATAAAACACACTTTTTCATGATTATACTTGGGTTCCTTATATTGTTTTGTACTTTGGGTAGCAAATTTGTTGATAAATTTATGAAAAACTACTGATTTTGTGAAGTAGATTTGAAGATAATATAAAAAGTGAGGGATTGTGGGAAGTTAACAGAGTTTCTGAGAAAAAGGCAGATTTCACACTTAGGTTTTCTTATTCACTAGGATACATTCAATTATTAATTATACATCATTATAAATTTGAAAGTATAAAACAGAGACTTGAAGGCACTGGAGGAATAAAAAGAAATTACAATGTGTGACATCCTAATTTATCTAGATTTTCCCAAGTTAGGCCATGTTATGTAGCTAAATCTTAGGTAAAATCCATTAGTGTTGCTGGTGTGAGATGTGAAAAGACAGTTTGTGGCTGCCAGAATGACTGGAAGCTCATTAGAAAAATCCCACAAGAGAGGAAGCCCAGGGAGAAGAGACTTGAGTTTGTATACAAACTTTTAAAAAATCCTTGGTTGGCTCTTGAACTGTACATTTGTAAAAGAAACAGTTTAAAGTCCAGCCTGAAGTAATAATTTGCGGGGTTTACAATTGGTTCAACTGGTTACATCCAAAGAAAAAGATATTCGGATATTAGAAGTAGCAATCAGGGGCTTGAATGCAGCTTTTATAAATATTTAAGAACTTAACATGTTAATAATGGTAAGGACTCCCCCGTGTAAAAACAGAAGCTATCAAAAAAGGTCAAATGAAAATTCTAGATGTAAGAGATTTGGGCAAACCATCCATTCGTGTGATTAACTTTACATTTATGGAAGCTGCATCCAGTAACTGTAGAATATACATTTTTTAAAGGATACATTAATATACCAAATAAAGATAAGAATAGAAAATAGTAGAATAGAAAATAGAAGAACAGTAAACCAACCAATAAACCCAAAAATTAGATCTTGAAGTGATAAGCTCCTAGCATGATTGATAGAGATAAATGCAAGTTACCAATATCAGCAATGAGAGTGAGGGTATCATTCTATATCCTCTGCACTGAAAAGAAAATAACACAATATGTGAGTAAGTTCATGCCAGTTACATTCAACTAAGAGGAGATAATAAATTTTGTGAAAGAAGAAAAATCCTAAAAGTGACACAAGAAGAAATAGAAAACAAATAACATATGTCTTTTAAGAAATTGAAACAGACCTAGTTTAGAGATAAAAAATTAACTGTCATTTGAAAATTATTTCTAAAGTATTTGGTGTTGTTAGAAGCAGCTTACCCCTTGCATGTATTTTTCCTGAAAATATTTTTTAGCTAGTTAGTTTTATTTGGAAATCTTTGTCTCTTATAGGTGCTATTAAATTAAGATTATTCCGTCTTATCAATGGTAGTTATACATTCTCAAAGATAAACATGTATTGCACGTATTTTCCAGGAAACAGTGAGCTAATGTGAATCCTGTACATTTTCCTAAACATTCTATCATTTATTTCTGGCTTAAAGAAACTTGGAAAAATTTTGCAGTGATATCTAGCTAATTTTTGCAAAGACATCTGAAATATTTTAGAGCATGATGGTTGAAGAAAATTTTAGAGATAATTTGATTTTATCTTTTCATTTGAGGTTCAGAAAGAATAGTGGATTTCTTCAAAGTTACAAAGTAAAGTTAGAGCTGTGAGTAGAATTCAATTTTCATCTTATAGTGTTGTGAAATTCTTAGTCATGCTGCTTTTACGGAGGTAAACTGTTTTTTTTTTTTTTTTTTTCTCTTATACCATGGAGCTATATCCCCAGTACCCATTAAGAAGGCAAACTGAAACTTAACAAATTAGTAAACCTATGAGATACTGTAATGATTTAAAACAGTGTTACTGGAGTAGAATCATATGGAGAGACAGAGTGAAACAGAATGTAAAAATAAAGCAGTGAACAAAATAGAAACATATATGGATATATATAACATATATATGGATATATATATGGATATATAACATATATATGGATACATATACATATATACACACACTTTACTGAAAGTATTGAAATGAATCAATATTAAGATTCTCTTCTTGATTTGAAATCCTGCACCATTTCTATCACAAAAATTCCATGAAACTTTAGAATCCACATGTTGGTACCCTTCTGTAGCTTAGCCTCGTTGATTTTTCTTGATAGAGAACAATTTCTCATGTATTTTCAGCTAGAGGTTTTCTTAAAGCCTGCATGAGACAGAGTACATTATAGCCTTCCATCCATCATCTGTCAGCTTCAATAAAATACTGGCCTTTTCAGAAGTAATTTTGCATTTCCAAGGTAAAAGTATGTGTCACTCATATATTACCATTACCAGACTTCAGTAAATGCCGGAGTCTGTTTCTCGACACCTTTCATTTTTTTGAAAAAGAGACAATGGAATTAATTTACACTTACCCACAAGCTTTGATGGAACCCTCAACAGTTGGCAAATGTGACCTGTTTAGGCAACCAATTAGCAGTCTTTTTTAAGAAGACAGTCACGTGGCTATTAGAAGGTGGGAGTGAGGGAGTGAAGCAAGTGAAAATGCTGCTCCTGCACTTGGTTTGGAATTGTTGCTGATGTGGGAATCTACTCTTATTCTCGGTAGGGACCAGAACCTGTTACCTTATTGTGTAAATCGGAGTTCTGGTTATTTCTGTCATAATCATCAATGATAACAAACCTGAAAGACAAATGTTCACATTAACATTTTTGTTGTTGCTGCCCATCTTCCTAATTTTCAACCATATAAATTTCAGTATTCAGAAAGAAAACAAGAGGCTGTAGTGCTTAGGGACATTTATTTGTGCAAATATATATAGTATACAGAAGGCTTTTCATTAGCATCTATTAAACAAAGAGATGCTAGAATCATACACTTCTAGGAGTAAGTAATTGTAAAGTCTACAAATTAAATGATTTTATTTTGTCATTCTTAAATATTTTATACTTTTATGAGAAAAAATGACCTTTTTTGCTCTGATTTGATGATTCTGCTACATATTCATTTTATATAGACCTATGCCAGCATTTATTGAAAGTAATTTTTGCAGCAATTGTTTAACATCTGAGTAATGTCTTTAGTTATTAATATTTCAATTTAAATGATGCATTTAGAAATTCATAAAGATTAAAATATAATGTCAAATATGTACCAGGCTTTGGATTATATGCCTAGAGACACAAAAACCATATCAACAAATCAAATATGGTTAAGAACATCTAAAAGTATTTTTAAGGAAAAAGAAGTTCACATTAAACGTTTTCAAGAAAGCCAATCTCAGTTCAGAAACACCAAAGGAATGTTCTGACTTTTATTTTTTAAAGTAAAATACCTGATGTAAAATTTCCAAACCAGAAAGAATTACTGTCAAGTAGGTGTCACTCTTCAATTTGAGCTTTCAAAAAATGAAATGTGTGCACAAATTATAGTATAAACATTTTTCCTTTATGTAGGCAAAAATTTAATGATATATTCTTGTGAAGTAGCATCTCTATCATGTTTTCAATTTCTTTATTTATTTTTTACTTAGTCCATTTTCCACTTCTTTTATATGGTATTTTTAAAATATAAAAAGTACTCTGTAAAATTAGAAAAAAGGAACTAATACATCAGCACATTCTATTAACAATAATATAAGCAAAATTTGTATACCAGGAACTATATAATATCTTATTTTACTACTGAAACAACGTCCTACTTTTTTTTTCTAAGAGAAAGATTTGCTTTGTATACATACAATGTTCCTTAAGGTCTATTTGGATTGTTAACTATATAGCAAAAATCCCCATTTTCATTCGGATAACCTATTGAATTCTAAGAACATAACCCTTATTCTCTTTTTGCTGTCTTTTTTTGCAGTGAGTTGTTAGTATTTTCCAGATTAAAGATACCTATGCTAAATTTCTCTTTTGTTGGAACTTTTATAACATAGCCATTTTTCAAAATGTATGACTGTTATAGAATAATTGAGGAGTGTTTAATTCATAGGAGAAATGATTTCTAAATTTGTTGATTTATAATACAAAATTTGTAGTTGTGATAAGGTTGAAGACTGGTATTAGCCTCTTATATTTTTAGTTTAATTTAATTTGCTTAAGTTTAATTTGCTTAAGTTCTGGCTTACAAATGTATCAGCCATCATATGTACCATAGTTAAGGTAAAGTATACTGCTTTGGAACCATTTATTTCCCCTTACATTTTTGATCTTCAAGTTTCAAAAAATTCATATGGTTTATGTAAATAAGTAGACAGGAGGAATATTTATATACTCGCTTCTTCCTATTTTGTGGCTTAGTGTAGTTGAAAGGGTAATATACATGTACCAACTCCTCACAATCAATGTAAAAGTTATATATTGCAAACATGTACCAAGTAAAATTTGTATAAAATTGCATAAAAGGATAATAAATGAGGCACTAATATCTTACTAAAAAGCAAATTTGGATTATTATTCTAAGTTACTTCTTTTTTGATACAATGTAATATGGTATATCTGCTGGCATAACTAATTATAAAATTCACATTTTAGAATCTGAAGATCTAGGTACGTACTTGAGTATTTCCTTTTAATCTCTAAAATTACTGTTATTATTTGTTCATCATCATTTTTTCCTGAAGGAGATCACATACTTTCATTTTTACAATAAAAACAATGTTATAACTTACTTATCTATTTTTTTAAATTTTAAAGAGAGTAGTAAATGAGAAACAAACAAAGAAATAGAACAGTAGCAGCATACCAGTATCACAAACATAAACAAATCAAAGCAAGAACATTCAAAGTGGTACAGAGTCTCATGGCAAAATAATACAAATCAACAGTGGTTGTTACATTACATATCGCTATCCTCAACTACATTGCTCAGATTACCAGATGTAAGAATGAAAGATTGCTCAAACCGTTATAGGGAATAAGAAAATAATTCTTTGATAAAACAGTAGAGATAATACAGAGTTTCACAAGACAAGATGGTAGGAGTTCACCATCGTAATTCCATTGCATATTGTTACCTTCAAATCAATTGCTTGGACCAGACACAAGCTTGCACAGTCGATCAGAACATGAAAACTTGTAAGCATTAACTGTTCATTTCAATACACCATCAGACATCAGCAATACAGTCATCACAGCTATTCATATATATATATTTATATTTTGCATTCCTTCTTTCTTTTTTCTTCTTTCCCTCATCCTAGTTGTTCCTTTCTTTGAGCAATTACAATGTTATAATTTAGTACCGGATAACTTTCCTTTGATTTATTCTCAAATCTGTTACCACAACGGAAAGTTTGCTTATCATTAAAGATCTTCAACAGTTTTTCCTGTGTCAGTTCTCAGTCTAAGCATGGAATGAAAATAAATTTATGATGAATAACATTCCTCCAGCGATGCCCTCCAGTGATACATTCTATTTCTGGAGGGTTACAGATTCCGAGAGTGTAAAGACACTTAAGAGATATGCTACCCAAACTCTCTCTATTCAAGTGGTGACTCCTCTATAACTGTCAACTTTCTGTTTCTACGACAAAATGCCAGAGATTCCCCATTTATAAAGAGGCAAGTGTTACTTTGCCTCCTCATTTTGGAGGTCTCAGGACATGATCCATTGGCCCTGCGGCTTTGGGCCTGTGGCAAGGCAGCAGATCATGACAGTTACATGTGATGGAGTGAACGTTTCCCCACATGGTGGCTGAAGGGCAAAAGAAAGGAGAGAAAGAGACAAGGGAGGACTGGGGTTCCCAAATTCCCTTTGAGGACACAACCCAGTGACCTAAAACCTTTCATGAGACACTGCCTCTTACAGTTTCTGCCTCTCCACAGCAGTGAGCTGGAGATCAAGCCTTTCACACATGACCCCTTAGGGGAAATTCCAGAGTCAAGCTAAAGCAACCCCACCATCACCACCACCTAGACTCCTTAAACTCTCCAGGCGCTCACAATGCTTCCACTCAAGGGGTATCTCACTTAATTCAAAAGATTGCTCCGATTTCCACACAATTTTCCATATTAAGCCCAAAACTTATCTCCTTGAACCTGAACTCACACATGTTGCTCTTCTTGATGCCATACATTGTTATCAGTTTTCTCATTAAGTTAAACATATATATATATATATATATGTGTGTGTGTGTGTGTGTGTATTTTATGATAGCTTCACTGAGATAGTAGTTCACACTGCATAAGGAAAAGTGAGGCTAGATTTACACAAGTGGAAATTACATAACTGTAGAGCGTGCTGGGCATCTGCTCTCTGGCTTTATTCAGCACCTCAAGTCCATCTGATTCAAAGGCTTGAGAAATGTCTTCCAAATGCTTTCCTTTCTTTCATTTTTAATCTCAGCTTGCCTCCGCTTGGCTTTAGCAGCTCTTTCTACAGTTTCTCTTCATGTGGCCAGGAAAATAGCTGGCTACTAGGTACCTTTAATTTACTTCCTTCCAACTGTCACCAAAAAGGCTGGACTCTATTCCCACGAAAACAAGCAGGCAAGCGAACAACAATCCTGCCAAAGAAACATGCCTAAAATCAAAAAGTACACAAGAAAACCAGAAATATTCCAGGTGACTCCCCAGCTTGTAAAACATGACCAGCCCTAGACAGATCACCGAAGACTCCACAGGGCTGGAGTTGCAGAAAGCGAGTTCCTCAAAAGGG